GACTTGGGCATACGGGAAAAGAAAAGCATGAGGAGAAGGAAGGGGAGAGGCGATCACCTGGACAGGATACTACGAAGAGCAGTTGCAGGCAACAAGCATTTAAAAAAAAATACCAGGTAAGAGAAATATAAATAGATAACTATTTAAAAACAAGATTAGCATAAGCAACAAATGCCATGGAAAAAAAGGGATGATTGCCTCTGCCTGTTTCAACACCTGCCTACATGTATGCGCGCACGTGTGGAAGCGTGTACACTTGTGTGCAGCCGCCCCATGTGCCCAGGTGGTAAAGCAGCAGCTGTTGCCAATGACACGCATAATGTTACATACATAGTAAAATGCATTTCCACTTGTTAGTAGGGATGCCGAGCAACACGGCCAAGAACAGGCCTGATTCTTCACCACTTGCACCAGTGGCACAGCTCACCAGCAGCAGGTTTGGACTTGCTCCCAGTTTCTAGAAGGTGGCCTCCAACAGTTAAATACTGCTCGCTCATTATAACAGTGGAAAAAGCCATTGACAAATCTGGTGTTCGAACAAGATTTGGGTGGGCCCTGCTATCAGGCAAATCCTCTCTTGTTCTATCACACCACTGGGCTTCTTCCAGCCTGTCAAACCTGTTTCATGATCAGACTTGGTAAAAAGCATTAACCCAACTCAGGAACTTTTCTCAGTGAGTTACTCATCATTCACCCAAGCATGTCTCAACAGCAAAGTAGTATGTCAGGTTCTTAGGAGACAGGAATGTTTCTAATGATTTACAGCTTTTCATTGTACCCAAGTAGAAACCACATTTTTTCTCCACATTGTGATAGAAAAGGGTCCTTTTTAATTATGCCCTGCAGTCTTTTTGCACGTAACGCTCCCTCCCATTGACGTCAATGAGATTTACGCACGTGGAAGTCATGCAGAATCAGGTCATTTATGCCTAGTTGTGTTAGTCTATATCATGTAGCAAAGCAATGGCCGAAAAATAGGGTTATCACTCCTATTTTTTTTTTTAATAGGTGACAGTGAAGGGTAGGTAATGGAGGAGGTTTAGCTAATGAAGGGTTAAGGCTACAAACACACAGTACTCGGAAAAAAGGACACAAGTGAAGAGATTTTAAAGAGTTATGAAGATTAACACACAACAGAATATAAGTAAAAGCTTGCAACAGTTTGTCACCATCTAGAAACAGGTTTCACTTTAAATTAATTTGCTATAGGAGACTGCTCATCTGAGAAATGTTAAGCAATATACTTCCAGGCAAAACATTATTCCATCCTATCTCTATTCATGTGGTGGCTTTTGGGTGGTTTTAATATAAAAAAAAAGAAAATTAGAAGAAGAAATTGCATTTCAAAAACTGCCCTCACGACATGCACACATCCTCTACTAATGCTAGCAGGCATCCAGTGCCAGTGTTAGGACTTAATCTTTCCAGATTTCTTCTGGCTAGTACCAAAAGACAGCAGTCCAACACGGGAGAACATTCTCAGACACAGACACCAAAATCTTTTGCTTAAGATCCGTATTTTAGGATGAGATCTTTTACGTAAAGATCTAAGAGTTTCCATTTCTAGGGAAGCCCTCATTGATATCTATGTTAAATCTGACTGTATCTACATCTCGCCTGTTTAATGATGGCTACATGAATGTCCCTCCAGGCATGGGACAGATTTGCAGCTTGTAGAGACTGGAGTAGCTCCACTTACATCAGAGGTGTTTTACAGATCTCCAGTGACTGAAGAACTTGCTGCTTAAATTCATGCTCCTTACTGTGCATGATTGCAAAACATTCTTTTTCAGACGCTTCCAAAATCTGCCTCAGAAAAAAAATTACTAATTATAGCAAAGCAACTGTGCCAGGCACATAATGGACTTTTGACTCCTTGCTTCTCGGCCAAAGGCTGTCACCACCCCAAAATGCCCATTATCCCTTAATGGCAGTGCCAAAAGCAGAACAGCTGAAGACTTTGAGACCTCGCCACGATGTCCTGGCTTTTTACAGGACAATTCCTGAGCCCAGCATTGCAGTCAGAGGGAGCATACAACCACCAACAGGTCATAGGGATGTCAAGGCCCATACCCCATCACCTCTCTAACACCACCCTTCCTCCTACCCTGCTATAGCCCCTTGGGAGCAAGGGAGAGAAAGGAGCTATGGCAGTCCCACTACTGCTCCCTGAACAGCAGCTGGGTGGAGAAACTCAAATAAATGCAACATTTCCAGAGTCTTCTAAAGAAACAAGCACACCACAGCAGCTGCTGTGCAACCTGAAGGCGGCTCTGCCACACGGGGTCTGTGGGCACAGGAGGCAGGAGCCCGTCTCAGTCTGCTTCTGGTTTGACGCAGCCTTCTGGGTCACCTCTCCCACCCCAGCAGCTGGGGGAGCATCTGTACAGGAACATGCCTTGAAGATGCTCTCCCCCTGTTGCCAACCTGTCTAATTTCAGATATCAAGGTGCAAGAGGGCCCAGGGGGACAGAAGGATCTGGCTTCACCACTTCTCCAGCCCTTGCGTTGAGGTAAGAGACCCGAGTCAGGAGCACACTCAGCGAAAGGTCTACCTACAAATGCCTGGGAAAGGTGTCTAAAATTGCACGTGATGAAGTTGGGCCAATACAGCTCCTGCACAGGGATCTGTCAAGGACACTGGAGCAAACAAGTGTGTCTCATTTGAAACGGGTCAGCATTTCTGTAACAGTCTCAGGACCTGCTAGAATTGTAACAGCTCATGGAGGGATGTTTCTGTCTTGTACCATGTCCTGGTTCTGAAGGATTCCCCCGAGCATGTCCTGCAGCACCTACAAAAGGCAATGGGAGACTCCTTACCACATTTCGACCTTACTGAATTCTGCAGCAAGTGCCTCCCCACTGCAGGACAGGAGCTAGACTAAATCCTTGTAGCAAAGAACTCACTTGGTGAGTTTACCTCATCCTGCTGCTTCTGATTTCCCTCTGGACAAGCTCTGACCATCACAGATGTAGCAGTAACCTTGGACAGTAATCTTTTCTGACTTTCTTTTTTGCCCGTGTGTTTGTGTGCGCACATGGTTATGCAACCTATGCAACATGATCAGACCATCTGCACTGGTGAAAGGGTTAATTCACTTCAGTATCCATGTGACAGCCTGCGCTGATCCCAATGAACAATTCCCACTACAAAAATGCCAGGCACCCTCTGATTTTTGGGCTGGGAAAGCCACACTCCTGCTGGAACGCAAGCATCTGAACAAAAGTTTGTGCCACTTCTCTGCATGGCATGGAAAGCAATCTTTCAGCATGACTGACAGATAAAAACGCACTGCATGCCAAAGTCAAAATTTCCCACGTGCTGGTTAACAACCCTCTCTTATTTTTTGCAAGACCAGAACTGGATTAAATCTTTGCAACAAACAATTTAATTGCGCCTCAAAGTTCCCCTCAGATCGCTATCTCCTGGGAGCAGATCACACTTTCACCCCTTTGCACTTAGCAAAGAGGGGCTGGGTCTATGTCTGGCTCACTGCTTCAGTCCAAGGCACAACAAATACAAAATCATCTGAGAGAGGGCAGAGGTAGCACCCATTCCCTGGCAAGCAGCAGAAGCAATCTGAGCAGTTTCCTCTGAAGGTTATACAGGCTCTTATCACCACTGTGAATCCTTCTCTGGCGCAGCCTTCCCAAAGGGTTCAGAGGAGGTGACATATTCCAACAATGCAGTTGCAAATCTGTTTGCAGAGCAGGAAGACTATTAAAAGTAACTTATGTGATGGGGTTTTGTTAAGTAAGGGAGGTCGGGAGGATAGGGGAGTTAAAGGGCTTTCCCATCCTCTGCCAGACCGCGTCTCCTTGGAGAGGTGGCTCTCGGAGAGGGCAGCGAGGCACCGCACAGGCCTACGCTGGCTTTGGGGATGCGGCTGTGGCAGCCGCGAGCACCGGGGAATGAGAGGCTGTCACATCATTTACAGCGTAATTCCACGACTGCTGGCGGAAGCCAATCCCTAGCAAGAATTCCTACTGCTGCTGTCTAAACTCCAACAGGGAAGCCTCGTGAGTACTTAAAAAACCCAAACCCAAGTTTTCAGAGGGGAAGGGGAGCAGATCAGCCTCTGCTTCCCAGTTCTGGGAATGGGGAGCAACACCGGCTTGAAGGCTTCAGGGCATCCCTGTGTCCACTCTTCCCCTTCCCCCCTATAGCTGGGCAACAGGAGCTGTTTTTTGTAGGATGCATTGGATCCCTCATTATCTGGGGTGAATTGGAAAGAGTTGTCTTCTATGGAGCCAGGACTGACAGCAGACTGGGAGGATGGCTTTTGCCTATGAGTGTCACAAAGACAGGTGAAAAATATTTGAAACTCAGAAAATAATCAAAGGTAGCTTATATGAAGACAGCTTGCAGACAGAAGCCTGGGGAGCAGATCCTGTGCCTGAAGCAAAAGGCACCCACAGCGAGGTCCCTGTGCTGACACACTGTCCCACTGCGGTGTGGGGGGAGGAACCAGAGACAGAGCCACCTGCAGCAGCAGTTGTCTCCCCAGCTTACCAAACATGAGATCAAAGTCCTGCACTGCACTCACTTCAGTTCCCAGCACAGATCTCTATAGGTGCTGCTTAGCTCTCTCCCTCTGCTTCTCTTAATGTCAGGAACCACCAGGACTGGAGAGGTCCTAAATTTGTGCTGTGCCCATTGCACAGAACACCATTTTGCAGGGCAGTACCAGCATGACACTGCTAGGCAAAGCTGTGCTGTTGGGCGTACCACAAAAAGTGGCTGCATCTGTCCTGCACCACCCAGTCCTCTGGCGTATCCAACACGCTGCAGACCTAATGAGTTCAATTCTCACCGAAACACCGCGTCTCACGACTCCAAAGCTGCTGCTCTTTGGAAAAACACCTCAAAACCCAGCGCTGCCTCCTCCCAAGATTATTCACTGCCTCCAAAACGCATCCGGGTTTCAGTAGGCAAAGCTCAGACGGTAATGGATGCTGTGCAGGGTGCAGGATCGGCAAGTCTGAACAGACACTGCAACATTTCTGGCCGGGATGGGCAGTCTCCCCAGGCACTAACACCACAGACCAAGTGCGGAAGGCTTTCATGCAGACTAAGATGGTTACATGCAAAGCGAGAAGGTGAAAGGTCCAAGTACCAGGTCAAAGGTTGCCTCGAGCGGTCGCTTCAGTGATCTGACAGCTGGCTGAGTCTTAATTAGCAGGCAGCGAGCACATGATGGCAATGGGCCAGGGAGGGGGTCAAGCACAGTAACAAAAACAGCAAGCAGAGGTGTGTCAAGAGAGAGCAGCATTTGGGGGAGGCCAACAGAAAAAAATTAAAAAAATGAATGCATTATACAACACATTAAAAAGATGAGGCATGCACAACATTGGGTGGCTGAGTAATTACCTGGCCTAGTGGCTAGTCAGCTATTTTGCTTCAGTAAATTTTAAAAGTAAAGAAATACCATCATGGGACAGGTGCTCTAGAGCATCTTCACTGCAGCTGGCACAGCGGGTGAGGAGCACTCGGGGATTAGCACCTGCGGGTGGACTTGGGCTGGGCTTCAACCCTAATTCTGCAGCTACACACCATGTGGAGGGGTCAGCAGGCATGCCGTGGCAAGGGAAAGACCACCGGGAAAGAAGGGAGGTTCAAGCACATGCTTAAGTGCCATCCTGAACTTGAGTCTGACCCAGTTCATCTGGCTGTGCTGCACAGACTTCAGACAAGTAGGAGTGAGTAAAGCTACTACTTGTGCATGTTGAGTAACTGCAAGATTGGGTCCTTCAGAAATATCTTCTGAATTTAGGTTTGAAGTCATTCCAAACCTATTTTAGAAGGTACACCCATTTGTCTGGCATATGTTTTTCGATCCAAGAAAACTGGGCACCATTCTTCCCTTTATTAAAGTCTTATTCCTCAACAGGTACAGTAAACGCATCAAACCTTGAAAAGTCAATGAATAATGTAAGCTGTTTTGGTAGCAGGGGTGATGCAACAAGCCATCAATAAATATTTTAAAGGCTCTAGTTAACAGCATACAAATAAGGTTAATTACATTTTTAAGAGAAGCCAGCAGCATGAATAAAGCATGCACTGGCTTTGGTTAAGTAGCAGTGTCCTAGATCATTAGTGAAAAAGTAAAGATTCAATTGTAAAAAACACAAGAGTTTCATTTCAGAAGGTTCTTTTTCAACAGACCTGAGCTGTTGTTTCAAGAATAATAAAAATAGTAAGAAATCTATTAAACAAACTGTGCCAGATAACTAAATACTGCAGCATAAACTGGTTCTTCAAATTACATTTCAGGTAATACTGATGCTACAAGGAGGGCAGTTGTTCAATTTCTAGAATCTTCTTGGCTTTGCGTTACAATTCACCATGAACAAAAAGTGACCTGTTTTACTGTCTTCAAAAAAAAGGTATTTAGAAAAATTTTAGTAGCCTTATTTGTAAATCAAAAAGGAGGCAAGAACCTTTTCAATATTAGTTATTAAAAAATAAAAAAAAATATCACAGCATGGATGAGGTTGGAAGGGGATCTTTGGAGATCATCTACTCCAACACCCTGCTCAAAGCAGGATCAACTAGTGCAGCTTGCTCAGGACTGCATCCAGGCAGGTTTTAAATATCTCCAAGGATGGAGCAACCTATTGCAGTGTTTGATCACCCTCATGATAAACAATTTTTTTCTTATGTTTAAATGGAATTTCCTACATTTCATTCTGTACCCATTGCCTCTTGTGTTTCACTGGGCACCACAGAGAAGAGTCTACCTCCATCTTCTTTACTTCCCCCATGAGGAATTTGTATACATGGGTAAGATCCCCCTGAGCCTCGTCTTCCCTCCCCAGGTTGAACAGCCGCAGCTCTCTCATCTCTGGAATAAACAGGTGCCATTAAATTGAATTCAACAGAATGGCAAACATTTACTCCAGCTAGGAATTTGATCTGCTAAGTCTTTTTTGACTCGTTTTCAGAACTGTAGGTAGTAGAAGTCACAATTCAAATTAAAGTGCAGGTGGGACCATCTCTACCAGGTCCTAAGTATCAAAGAGGTCAAGATGTCACCTTTGGTTTGAGTCTTGTCATTTCACTAAGCCTTGGCAAAGGTATCAGGCACAAGGCTGCTCAGTTTGCTAGGCTTGAAAAACTGATACCTTGTCTGCTTTGAAGTCAGTGGAAATTTTGCTGCTGACCTCAACTGGCCAGGATCTCCCTGCAAAGGATGTATTATGGGACAGGTATTCTTTGCTTTCATTGTGTACTGAGGAATGACAGCTAAACTGACAGCTAACTGACAGCTAAACTGACAGCTATGACTTAGCCAGGGAAGGTGTTTGCTGCTGTACTTGCATTCATGTCACCTCATGAAGTCACGGCAGAAAATCACAGGGTTTGCCACCATGTCCCTAACTGGTGAGATGGACTGTGCCACTCAGGGCTTCATGCTATGGTGAGCAGCACATAGAAAGGATGAAGAGATGGGATTCGTATTGCACATGCACTCAGCTCTCTAGTCAGCCATTTACAAAGCACTCTACTTTTCCACAAATGACACAAATGAAATCTCTTAGCAATGGAAATACAGCTTGAGAAGAGCTCTACTTACCATTGCAGCTGCAGCTGTCTGGTTCACCTGGTGTTGAGCTGCCTTGATTTTGGCTTGCAGGTGTGCAGGGGGATGAAAGTACTTGCATTTCTCCCTAGAGCATCGACCTTTGATGTAATCCATGCAAACTGTAACAGTATTTTCATTTGTGTCTATCATTGCAATATCTATAGGGTGAGCATAGCGGCAATCATTCTCACCACGTGTGCAATTTCCACGCTGAAACTCTCGACAAACCTTAAAAGAAAGTCACATTGTTGAGCAGGACATCACGTTACTCTTCATTCAGTATTTTCAACACAACATCAGTTCAGTTGGCCACATTAAACTATGTGTGTAATCTAAATCCATGATGATCTTGGGTAGCACATATGCCAACAGTCACAGAGACAAGTGGTGCTACTCACAACTGGTTCAGGGTACGAAAAAAACCCACAACGTTACCAAGGCCAATTACCAAATGCAAGTGAAGTACAGAATTTGCGCAGAATGGAAAGTGACCCCAGAAGTCAACGTTGTTTTGCCAAACTTTTGGAGCTCAGGATTCCTCCCCTGCCTCTAAAGCTTAAATGTTAATAACTCTGCCATTTGTGTCTCAGCTGGATTACGTATTTGTTATGGAGCACACTCTTGGGTAGGACATTTAATTCGAAATGTTGCATGCTGCTGTTATTTGCAACAAGTACCTTTTCTTAAATATGAGGAGCCTCTTTCACATAAATAGTCTCACTGCCCTCCACAATAAAACTCTGTCCCTGGGGTTACAGGATGGTGTGTTTGATTACACTGCAACATGTTCGTAAGGTGTTACCAAATTGCTAGCTTTACAAAGATCTTGCAGATCCTTTTAAGTTATGAGCACTGAAGCATCAAAGGCAGAGAAAAAGGTTTCACAAAATGGATCTGCATGGTTTCCTTGTCTGAGGGACCAAGATAAATTGTTGAGGACTATAGCTGGTAGTATACATCACGTACCAGTGCACTATCAGACTGAGTGTGGGGAAAGGTGAGACATCACGTGAGAACGGAAGCAATCAGCAAGGCAATATAAAGTACATAACGCAAAACAATGTGTTTTGAAATTACACCCTTCTCTGCTACCTTCCTGTGTTATAATTTATACCCGCAGGGGCCTCTGAATTCAGGTCATCAGCCCTTATGTCCTGCAGAGCCTCTGCTTAGGGTTTGAAAGACATTTACAACTCCTCCAACACTAAGTCCCACCATGCCCAGCCAACTGGTGGGGAGGGAAACACACACGTCTTTCCAATGCCCCGTACCCAGCATTCCCAACAGTGTAATGCTTAAAGCTTTCTGTAGAAGCTCAATTAGCCCATCTCAAGACAAGGGAAGTGTCTGTTACTTCCAAAACATCTCCCACTCAACTCAGTGAAACGGCAGACCATCCACTTGCATTTTTTAAGTGTGGCAGATCACACACAGAAAACAACAATACCAGCCCTGCTCTAACACTCAGTGAAATCAGAAGGGTGAGTGCTCCCAAATTTCCAGTGACTTCCAAGGATTTGGGATCAGGCCCCACACGAGAGTCTGCTCAAGCAGAGAACAGCAGCCCTGTGTTAGGAAAGCTGTAAGTTAAACTCTGCACTGTGCTGCATCAGGTCATTCTAGCAGAGAGCAACAGCTGGGCCCACATGCCCTGTTCATTCCCATCAGCAGTATCGTATCAGACGTCCAAATACCTCCAGTTTATCCGTACGCATCAGTTTCTGCCCAGCAGAGCCTCCTGGTACTGTAACAGTAGGATTTCCAGAAACCAGGACAGGAGTATTTGGTAAAAGCTCTGCAGGAACCAAGCCCATCCCAGGAGAAACATGACTCAGGTAGGGACTAAAAGCCATCGTGGGGCTTGTTGCAAGCGATGGAGTCACAGGAAACGTTGTCTGTGTATAGAAAGAGGAAAAACAAAATATTAGTAAAAAAGCTGTCATGGATTACCTAAAACCTTGCAGCACTTCAATCCTTTCAGACAATTCGATTAGCAACATCAAAATGCTGTGCTCTCCAATCTATTCATTTATCGCCGTTTTCTTGCGATCCATTCGCTTCTCCTGACTCACAGATTTGTGACTCATCCTGAACACAAGGCATCTTTATTTGCCAGATCAAAGCATATTGGTGATCTTTATAGTTTAATGACACAATTAAGGATTTCATGCCAGCAATTAGGGCAGGCCCAAATTAAACAGACTTCTCATTCCCAAATAAATGTCTCAGCTTCTGTACATCTACACCGCAATGCCGTACAGAGACCTCAAGGCAAGCTGCAGCTTCAGGACCTGGAAGCACGTAACTCCATTAGCTACGTGGTTGAATTCACTATCAGCCTGCACTGAGCTCCACGTTATCATGGCTAGCGTGGCTCAGGTAGACAAATGGGATCATTTAGAGTCAGGCGAGGCATCGCTGCTACAGCACGCTTGGAGATCTAGAATTCTGCACATCTGGGGTTTATTTCAGGCTGTCAACAGCCTCCAGGCAAAAACAACTTTGCAGGAGTATCCCGAGCCTACACTCCATGTGAATGGCAGCAAGAGGACATCAAACTCACTAGTGTTACAACGTGCCAGACCTCATGGCTTTGGTAAGAGCAGGTGGGTCGTGGGCTTGGAAGAGCCATTGACAGAGCCTACCAGATGAGGTGGCCCAGGTGGGCTAGCACGAGGTTCAAGACCCCAGCTATGCTGTGAGGAGCGATGTCCCCATCAGAACAACGACCCATAATAGCAGGCCCTCCAAGAGCGGCAGAGCTTCAGCGCCGGTGGCCAGAGCAGCAACCTGGCCTGAACTGCTCCAGACTGCTGGTCTGGGAAAGGAGCTGCTGTTCTGCCAGGCAGGCGAGACCACACAAAGCTCCTAAGTGGGTGCTCAGTTTAAAGTCTGTGAACAACTCCTATAGCCAGAGAGTTTGTGAGACTTTAAAGCACCAGATCTGAGGTGAGTTTGGGAATGAGATCAGTTCCAGCTGATGAAAAATCCCCCCCTGCCCACCTCAAAGACCAGAGCCTGAAAGGCAGCACTCCTGCTCCTATAGCAGGGGCTCGAGCAGCCCCCAGGGAAAGGAGCCTGTGACTTGCAGCTATTTTTATTTTCCCTTCTGTCACCTGCTCCACTGTGAACTCTGAGTTACAGTTAAAGCTGCTCACATTTGCAGGCGTACGTGATGCCGTCCCCGGTAGCTAGAGCCTCTACTTGGCAATAAATGCAAGCGTGCTTACAAAATAGCCTGGGGTGTTTTTCTGGCCACACACATCATCCCCTCCTTGCTTTTATTTTTGTACCTCTACTCCTGTGGGTTTCTGAAAGAAATCACACATGGACAGTGTGTTTTTCCATGGCATCTTCATCCCAGTACTTTCATAAGCTAGGAAACACTTTGCTGCTTGTGATCTGGAAGAAGCTAGCCCACAGTAACACCAGCCAAGCTGTCCTAACCTATATTTAGCTTAATGATGCCCCCTTCCTAAGGTCAGAGTGACAGCAAGCAGCTCCCGAGCTGATGAGAAAGGGGATGACAGGTCACTGCCAGCGTACCTCCCACTTCCTCCTCCACAACAACGAGACACGGCCTCCTGAATCAGCAGCGCTGGGTGCTTTAAGTGCAGCAGAACCAAATAATCCTCTCTGGGAGAGATTTCCAATTTTCCTTCTTTTGAGTCTAAGTCAAGCCCCACTTCAGCTGATGGGAGACTTTAACCGTTAAACCCAGAGATCCTCCAGTCCATGGCCCTTTATTAAATCATTTTCTTCTCTCTTTCAATTCTCTGTGGCTCCCAGACATTTTACACCTTTTGCTGCTAGAAAAGCTCTTTAAGGATCTTCAAATGCTGTGACTCCCTGAGCACTTTAGTGAGAAGGCAGCATCCATTAGACTGTTTTCTTTTGTGCGAGCACCAGTAATTACAGCGGCATCTGCTGAACTTCTGCCACCATTCGCACTGTAAATGCTATTTTAAGGAGTTTCTCCAGCCTGGACAGTCTGCACAGGGTTTATGCTAGGGCCCAACACACATTGCCAGCACTTGTTTTGTGTACCCATAGCAGCCCAAACCTTGCAGCACACATGGCTTGCACGAATGTGTGAGCAAATCTACCCTGTGTGCTTCCAGCACCTAATACAGCAGGAGCCCTGGGTATCCTGACAGAGCAGGTGTGGCACAGACATTACTCCAAAATTTCAGGAGATCCTTTAAGGCAGGCTTCCCCTGCCTGGGCTTGAACACAGCCAGAAGCCAGCCCAAGGAGCTAGCTGTTTCTGAGATGGAGGGGAGATATTCTCAAGCAGAGGATGCCCGGGCATTTGTGCAGCCAGGGAGGAAGGCTGGGGGCTTGCGACACCTCACACTGAGTGCATTCACCAGAAACCGGTGGGAAGAGGTGTGAAATATTCTCCAAGAGATGATATACCAGCCCCTCCACCAAAGCCACTACAAACTGGGAGGCAGGTCCTGCTCCTTGAAACACCATCCCCATCTCCAAGGCTGTTCCTTCAAGAGCAGCTCCTCTCCTCACTGGGAAAGACTGGCAAGGGCTAAGGGATCTGAACCCAACCTGAAAAGAGCGGAGGAAGGATGTCCATAAAGAGCAACTGAGGGTCTACCCACGACCCTGGAGACCTACAAAGGGATGCACAGAGGAGCAGGACAGGTTTTTATTGCTGCCACTGGTTGTTCACCCATCTCCATGCCCTGGCATCTGCTGCCCCATTCCCAAGGTTTCACAACCGCTTCTGCCCGCCTGAACCCTGCACCCGGTGCCGCTGGCTGAAAGCAACGGCTCTGCTCCACACCCTGCCCGCGGGCCCGGGACTGACACTCAGCAGCTACGCAGGCGTTTTCAGCGGATGCACACCCAGAGAGCAAGCAGACCTCACTCAACACGTCAAAACTCGAAGCACTGAGGTTTTTTAAGTCTGAAGAGTGCTAAGCACACTGAAAACTGTTCCTCTGTAAGCTGGCATCAGGGAGCTCTGTATTTATTGTGGCTGATGAGGGGAAAAGATGGGCTGCGCTCATTGCCAGCCCCGACTGCCTGTCTTGGATTGGGAAATCCAGTTTGGCTCATGCATCAGTACCAGTAATAAGGATGCTGCCAGCCAAATCTCTCCTCCCTTTACGTCTGTGCAGGTCCCCTGTGCCAGGCCTGTCCTGAGGGAATTTGAGTGAGTTTCTTCCTTGCAGCCAGAGCCCAACTGTAATTTTTACTCCAGACAGTACTGCTCTCCTCAACATGCCTCCCATCCACCTCTTGTGATTGCGCCCAGCCAGGAGACCTGACAGATCAATATTATGACTGTACACTAAAAAAAAAAAAAAAAAGTCCCAACTGAGTTGCTGGTGTGCTCTAGGGCAAAACAGCCAGATTGAAAGCATCAACACTTACCCCTGCTGCCCCCCTTAAAGCTCTTGCAAATTCAGGAAATACAGGGGCAGGTTTCCTTGCAAACTACCTTTTATTAACCGTACCACATGTAGACACTACCAGTAATTCCTGAGCAGAGGGAAACAGGTTACAGTGCAGCAGCAGAGGGGTTCAGACCAGTAACAGCTCACAAGACTACTTTACTGAGTATTAAAATGCATGTAAGAATTAAAAAAAAAAAAAAAAAAGGAAGAGAGAGGCTGAAATGGCTGTTGTAAGAACACGTCTCGGGGGAGGGCTGCCAAGGACTCTGACAGCTCTGAGTTCCTCACACAGACCCCGAGCACAGGAGCTGTTGGGTTGAAGGCATGAGCAGAGAGAAGGGACCGTCCCAGGGAGGGGCATTTGTCACCACTGGTGGTGACAGAACCTGGAACAGCTGATTTTGTTAACAAACTAGAAGTTGCATTCAATTTGCCTAGCAGAAATCGTGCTAACGCTAGAGATGAAACACAGAGCGAGTGTGAAGAGGAAGGCAGAGGAGCGGCTGGTGTTTTGTCGAACACAAGCGCTGCCTCAGCCAGCAAGTGTTGATTCTGAGTTACCTCAGACCCTAAAAAGGGAAAGCCTGAAAATGAGAGACCTGGTATAAATACAGAGGTGTTGATGGCCTGAAGGAGGGGAGACAGGTCACTGCTAAGCAGCTACACATGGAAAGCACACAAAAAACAGCAGCAGCTTTTATTACAGTCTGGTGATAGAAACATACAAGATAAAGATCTCGTACTGACAAGGTTGAAGACCCTGATATTGAAAACATAATTGATGCTGTTCAGAAAAAGCAAAAACCTGTGTTCCCCTCCAATGCAACTGCATGGGGCTGGCTGTAAAACCACTCCTCTAACCTGAAGGCTGAGCATGCTGGAGTGAATCCAACAGGCCAAAGCATCCAGCTACCTACCACCACAGATGTTCATTTCCTCAATCAGATCACAAAGACACACTCCTAGCTCAAAGGGTATCTCATTTGTGGGCTGCTGTAGTGTACAAGTCAGTGTTAGCGCCCCACAGCACTGTCTTTTGGCAGACACCAGTTCCCGGGTGGGCCAGGGTACGTGTGTTCATTCCTAGTGTGCCTTTGACTAGAGGCTGAGACATAGATTAGGTTTTTGCTGCATGGAACATGCCCAAAACACCTGTTGAAATCTGCTCCAGCACTTGTTCCAAGCATCACTGGTTGAGCGAGTTGGTCACTCTGTGCTTCAACCCCTCCATCAGCACCGAGGGGCAGCAGCAGGGCACCACTGGCCCAGGAGGGGATGCAGGGCTGGGTTAAAGTCTGGGCTGTCTTCAGGGGCATGGGTGACTCAGAACTGTTAAGACAGTCCTGGCTACAAAGACCTTGACAGGAAGAAAAGATGAAGAGCTTGAAAACAAAGAGAGCTCAGCGCAGGGAAATAGCTTCCCAGGGCAGCAGCAGAGGCAGCACTGCCCTGCTCTATCCAACTGCTAAAACAGGGCAGCACTATGCAAGCCACTGCCCTGCTCCACCAGGTCAACTCGGAGCCAGTGCTGAAGCACCTCCACGGCCAGCTCCAGAAGTCTGTCTCGCACTGCTGCAAAGGGACAACGCAGAACGGACAGGGTAGCGATCAGGCCCAGGGCGCAGCACTTTTTGTGTGGTCTCACTTTGGCACACACATGGCTCAAAGTGACTGTATCTGAGAAACCAGACACAGCATTGACCAAAATCGCTCTCCGTATCAATCTATCCACCTTCAACCTGACTTTTACACAGTCTAACAGAGACGGAGGCACAAAACCAGCCCAGAGAGCTTCCAGCACAGCTCAACCAAAGCCAGCAGTCAAGGTGAATTTGGACTTTCAAAAGTCAATACTAGAATCTTCCTACTTGGCACCTACATGGTCTCTCCAAGGTCTCTCCCAGACAAATCTACGATGCTGAGCAAATAGTCTGCTCCATGTCCTTGCCTGACTTGTTTTAAAGTGCTGTACGAAGCAGTCTGTTTAAAACTGCATCATGGGCACCAAACATTCATGTGATTCTCAGCTTCGCACGAATGGTTAGCAGCAACAGAGAGCAACCAGAGACTTACGAGAAATAAGCTCACACTAGCAACCATTAATTCACACCTAGTAGGCTTCCGTGAGCAGCGTGCAGCAGGCAGCCCACCTGGGACACGGTTCTTCTCCAAGAAGCACATTCATTAAACAGCCATCATCAGGGTCCTGGCTCTTGGTTCAACGGGAAGATTAACTCTTGCTGGATGTCAGCGGTGGTGCAAGAAGATCTGCTGGTGAATGTTTAGATGCAAGCTCACAGACAGACACATTCAATGCCATTTCAGCAAGCGTGGTGAAAAACTGCTATGTCAAGTGCTGGTGGTTTGGTAATGGGTTTTTTGTTTTGTGTGTGCGTGTTTTTTTTTTTTAAAAAAACACAGTAGCTTTTTTGGTGAAAATGCACTTTAAAATGTCTAAGCATTCAGCTATTGTTTGGAGCTATTAAGCACACTGTTCCAAATCTTGTCTCTGGCAAGCATCCCAATTAAGCAGGCATCCCGTTGATCAGCTTTCTGATCACATGGGATTTGTTCTGCTGCTGCATCTGATATAATAACTTCTGCTTTGAAGAATTTCATGTGTAGCCAGAAGGAGGCCCCACCCTTCTCATTTAGAGAGAAAAATTCTCAAAGCCTGCTTCCACTGGCAGCATCTTTGGGAAATCAAAGGCAGGTGAAAGAGCAATCTCTTGTTTGTCCTGAAATTGGTGTGGAACAAGTCAG